GAGTTTATCCAGCTGGAAGTTTTCTGAACTTCATGAATCCTTCTCCACATCTTTGGCAACACTTATTTTCTATTTTTTTTGTTTTTGTAGTGACCATCCTAATGGATATGAAGGATATCTCATAGTGGTTTTGATTTGCATTTCTCTAATTATTTTTTTATGTGATTCCTGGACATTTGTATGTCTTCTTCAGGGAAATGTCTAGTCAAGCCCTTTATCCATTTTTAAACTGGGTTATGTTGTTGTTGAGTTGTAGGAGTTCTTTGTATATCCTGGACATTAATCCATTCTCAGGTTTATGATTTGCATACACTTTCTTCCATATTTTAGGTTCCTGTTTCACTCTGTTGATGTGCAGCTATTTTCTTTGATGCACAAAAGTTTTTAAGTTTAATATAGTCCCATTTGTCTATTTTTGCTTTTGTTGCCTACACTTTTGGTGTCATATCCAAAAAAGCTTGCCAAATTTGGTATAATGAAGCTTTATCCCTGTTTTCTTCTAGGAGTTTTATAGGCTTGGATATTTAATCTGTTTGAGTTAGTTTTTATATATGTTTTAAACCAAGAGTCCAACTTCATTTGCATATGGATAGCCAGTTTCCCCAGAATCACTTCTTGGAGAGACTGTCATTTTTCCATTGTGTAGTCTTGGCACCCTTGTCAAAAATCACTTGACAAGATCACATGAGAGCTTATTTATGGACTCTCTATTCAGTTCCAGTATTCAGTATGTCTGTCTTTGGGCCAGTGCCACTGCTTTGATTACACTACAGACAGTCCACTGTTTTGATTATTGTAGCTTTGTAATATGTTTTGATATCTGGAAGTATGAGGCCTCCAACTCTGTTCTTTCTCAAGATTGTTTTGGCTATTCAGGATCTGTTGAAATTCCATATAAATTTTAGGATTTTTTTTTTTTGTATTTATACAAAAAATACCATTGGGATTTTGATAGGGATTGCATAGAATTGTACATCACTTTGGGTAGTATGGACATTTTAACAATTAAGTCTTTCAATCCATGAACACAAAATGTCTTATTTATTTATTTGTGTCATCTTTAATTTCTTTCAGCAATGTTTTGTAGTTTTCAGTCTACAAATCTTTCACTTCCTTAAAATTATTCCTAATTTATTCTTTTTGATGCTATCGTAGATGGGATTATTCTCTTAATTCCTTATCTGATTTTTCATTGTTAGTGTATAGAAAGGCAACTGATTTTGTTTGTTGATTTTATATCCTTTAAGTTTGCTGAATTTATTAGTTCTAACAGTATTTGTAGAATCTTTAGGGTTTTTCTACATGGAAAATCATGTCCTCTACAGAGATAATTTTACTTCTTCTTTTCTAATTTGGATGTTGTTCCTTTTTTTTTCTTGCCTAATTTCTCTAAGACTTCCAGTACTATGTTAAATAAAGGGAGAAGAGTGGACATTGTTGCCTTATTCCTGATCTTAGAGGAAAAGCTTTCAATCTTTCATTATTAAGTACGATAGTAGCTGTAAACTTCATTATGTTGATGTAGTTTCTTTCTATTCCTAGTTTGCTGAGTGTTTTTATCATGAAAGGATGTTGACTTTTGTCAAATGATTTTTCTGCATCACTTGAGATAATCATGTGGGGTTTGTCCTTCATTTTGTTAATGTGGTATATTACATTAATTTTCATATGTTGAACCATCCTTGCATTCCAGGAATGAAGCCCATTTTTTTCATGGTGATTATCTTTTTAACGTGCTGTTTAATTCAGTTTGCTACTATTTTGTTGAGGATTTTTGCATCACTGTTCATCAGGGACATTGGTCTGTAGTTTCTTTTTCCTTGTAGTATCTCTGTCTGGTTATGGTATCAGTGTAATTTCTGTCTCATAAAATGAGTTAGGAGTATTTCTCCCTTTTCAATCTTTTGAAAGAGGTTTGAGGAGAATTGTTATTAATTATTTCATTGTTTGGCAGAATTCTCCAGTTAAGCCATGTGGTACTGGGCTTTTATTTGTTAGGAGGTTTTTGACTATTAATTTGATCTCCTTACTAGTTATAGATCTATTCAATTTATTTATTTATGATTCAATCTTAGTAGGCAGTATGTTTCTAGGAATTTATCCATTTCTTCTTGGTTATGCAATTTGTCGGTATAATATTGTTCATAGTAGTCTCATAATCCTTTTAATTTCTGTGTCATCAGTTGTAATGTTTCCAGTTTCGTTTCTGATTTTAGTTATTTGAGTCTTCTCTCTTTTTTCTTGGTTAGTCTAGCTAAGAATTTGTCAATTTTGTTGGTCTTTTCAAAAAAAAACAATCTTTCTTTCATTGATATTTTTTCTGTTGTTTTTCTATACTCTGTTTTTAATCTTTATTATTTTCTTCCCTCTACTAACTTGGGCTTTCATTTGTTCTTTTCCTAGTTCCTTGAAAAGTAAAGTTAAATTGTTAATTTGGGACCTTCCTCCTTTTAAAATGTGTTTGCCACGATAAACTTCCTTCTTAGTACTGCCTTCACTGCATCTCATACATTTTGATATGTTGTGGTTTTTTTCCTTTATTTATCTCAAGATATCTTCCAATTTCCCTTGTGATTTCTTCTTTGACACATTGATTGTTTAAGAATATGTGACTTAATTTTTATATATTTGTGGATTTTCCAGTTTTCCTTTTGTTATTATTTCTAGCTTCATTTCATTTTGTTCAGAAAAAATACTTTGCTTTCAACTTTCTTTTTTTTAAATATTTGTTTTGTGGCCTAACATTCAGTGTATTCTGGAGAATATTCCGTATGTACTTGAGAAGAATGTGTATTCTGCTGTTGTTTGGTGAAGTGTTCTCCATATGTTGGTTAGGCCCAATTGATCTGTGTTGTTCAAGTCCTCTGTTTCATTATTGATCTTCTGTATAGTTGTTCTGTCCTTTATTGAAAGCAGAGCATGAAGTCTCCTGCTAATACTGGGTTGCTGTCTATTTCTTCAATTCTATCAAAGTTTGTGTTATGCATTTGAGAGCTCTGATGCCAGGTGCACACATATTTATAACTGTTATATCCTCTTAGTGGATTGGCCCTTTTACCATTATATGCTATTCTCCATCTGTTATAACAACTTATGACTTAAAATCTATTCTTTAAGTTCACTGATTCTTTCTTCTGCTTAATCACATCTGCTGTTGAATCCCTCTAGTGAAGTTTTCAATTCAGTTATAATATTCTTCAGCTCTAGAATTTCTATTTGGTTCTTTTTTATAGTTTCTGTCTCTTTGTTGATATTCTCATTTTGTTCATGCATCACTTTTCTAAGTTGTATTTGTTGTCTCTGTTTTCTTTTAGCTCATTGAGCATCATTAACATTGTTGTTTTGAATTGTTTGTCAGGTAATTAATGTATCTCCATTTCTTTAGGACCAGTTTCTAAAGATTTATTGTGTTCCTTTGATTGGGCCGTTTCCCCATATCTTTGTGTGCTTTTCCCTGTGTTTTGTATGCCTTATGATATTTAGTTGATAATATGACATTTGAAAAAACAGCTATCTCATCCGATTTTCACAAACTGTCCTCTTACAGGTGAAGGGCTTCACCAGTTATCCCAGCTAGAAATGTGGGGGAATCTCTGAAACCTTTTCTGGGAATGTGTCTTCTCTGGGCTTGTGTGTATAATTTCCCAGTGAAAAAGGTTTGCCCGTTTCTTTCAGAAGCCTATAATATCTTGCTCCCCCTGGTGTCTCTCTGAAGTACTGCAGTATCTCCAATGCTGTAACAAGCTGTAGCGCCCATTTCTGTTCTCAGAGGTCCCAACCTGACATGCAAAATATACCACTGTTCTCATCAGCACTCTGAATCAGGCAAGACAGAAACCTGTTTCTTGAGAAGTCTCCCAAAACACAAGAACTTTGAATGTGTATTCCACTGTCTTCTCCAAAGGAGAAGCCAGGATTGGGGAGTTTTCTTCCAATTGCATCACATTGTTTTGGGAAGGAGGAGAGTTTAGGGCAGGCAAAATGCAACAAACTTTCTTACTCTCCTTCATACAGTTCTTCTTGGGTTTGTACTTGTCTAAGGTGCCACAAGCTCATCATTGGTTTCTGCAAAGGCAATTCGGTTCATACATTGTCAGTGTCTCTGTAGAGGAATGAGGGCCGGGATTTTTATTCCACCATCTTGCTGACATCATTCCAATAAGAATGTTGTGCTGTCTTCTGGGTACGAGTTTGTTTGTGGATGGAGTCCTGTGGTTGTGCTGAGTTTAGACTGTACTCTTCCAATACCCAACATCTAAAGAAATAAGTGATGCTTTCAGCAATAAGAGTGATAATCATGAATTGTTTTCTTTCTCGCTACCCATTCTCTTCCAGCAGTGTCTGACTCAGAAGCAGCTCAGACTGGAAACAGAATCTAGGACCTGGGCCATCACACCACACTAGCTTCCTCTGGAGTCCCACAGCCTGCTTATCAGCCATAGAAAGTTTGGCTTCTGTTCTTTATGTACCAAAACAGCCAAGTCAAATAGTTTAGACTTATTTAGGCTCGCAAAGAGGAAAGGAGATAAAAATAGCTAAAATGAGCTAGTATAAGAATTACTGCACTGAGGCAAATATTTGGGTTTGTTTTGCTTTGCTTTGTTTTTCAGAGTCACTGCTAGGCATACTTGTGTGAAATCTCTTTGAAGCTCATGTTTGGTTCTGCCAGATGTTAGGCTCCAAATATGGAGAAAAAAATGCTGAAAAATTTATGTGTATCATACTTCTCTAAAGTCAGATAACCTAATGAGGTAATAAGGAAAAGTACCTACCGTAATTCACAGAGATGGTTATTTCTAACCTTTGTAAGCTACCAAAGTCTTGATGGGCCAGAGGGTATGGCTATGATGCTGTCATCTGACAACTGACACTAGCTTCAACGGATGTTTCTCAGGGGAGAGTTTCTTAGGAAACCATCTTACCATATTTTTTCAATTACAGTCATTTTCTTTGCTTTTTGTTTCTTCCTCTTGTTTTTTGCTTGTTTGTTTGTTTTTTAGGTTAGCTGCAAACAAACCAATACAGTACTTGGAAAACAAAACAGTTTTAAACCAGGCTTTAGAACGGTTGAACTGGCCCATTTCGTTGAAAGAGCTGTCGATGCTGGAAAGTGAAATCCTAGCTGGGAAAATGTACATCCAGCAGGCCATGGAACTCCAGGAGGCTGCCAAGAAGAATTATGCAAACAAGGCCCCGGGAGAGGTGGGTGCCCTGGAGGTCTCTGTCTTTCCTCCTTCTCTGCCTGTCCCAAGTCATTGCCATCCCTACACTGGCTTCCTTCTCTCTCTCCCACTCCCTGCCACATTGATTTCTAAAAGCATTAGAGCCAATCCAGTTAAGGTCTCAGTACTTTTTTTCATCATAAAGGAAATGCCATTTGATTGTACTATGGACTTATTTTTAAAACAATACATCTTTTAATTGGAAAAAAAAAGCTAAATAGAAGTATAATGTAGTGATTAAAAAGCCTGGACTTTTATAGGAGCCAGACCAAGAACTAGCCTCAGATCTACTCTCTAATCTGTGTGTGATTTTGGTTACTCAGTCTCTTTAAATCTCAATTTTCTTGTAAAATAAGAGTATTAATAGTATCCGTCTCATAGGGTTGTTATAAAGAGAAATGAACATGTGACGTGCTTAGTATTGAAAGCTCCCTGTAAGTGTTAGCAATTATTTTTTATCACCATTAATAAAGCAAACCTTCTAAAAAGAAAAATAATTTATAATCTATTTGCCTTATTGCTACCACTTGGGAGCCTTTCCTTTTAGTTTTTTTCCTCCTCAAATGTTTTCTACATACCTGCAGTCAGAGTGTCTAAATTATTGTATATTCTACTTTTAAATTTACTATTATTTCATAGACTTTCTCTGTGTTTTTATTGAACTGTCAGATTTATATGGGTGATGGTTACATAATATTCCATGGTGTGAATATACCCTGGTTTATTTGATTCTTCACTAAACGTTAAACGTTTATAGTTATTTCCCGCTTTTCTGCTTTCTCACATAGTATTTTCATGACTCCTGTGGCGCACATAGTTGAATTATTTTGTTAAGATACAGCCTTAGAAGTCGTATTTCTGGAGCAAAGAGTATAAACATTTGGAGTCTATAAATACACATGGCCAGTGGGAAACCCACTCTCTGACTCTCCGTGGGTGTGTGTGGATGGTGCTTTGTTTGAATGTGTCCCCCAGAGTTCCTGCGTTGCAAACTTATCTCCCTTGCAGCAGTGCTGGAGGTGGGGCTTTTAAGAGGCGCGTGGGAAAAACCGCTCTCTCAGCCGGTGCTCTCGCACCACAAGGCAGTCCTCGCCCACAAGGCAGTCATCAACAGGGAAGGCGGCTTCTGGGACCAGAGATGCGGGGGATTTTCCCACACGTACCAAACAGTAGACACTGGTTGGTTCGCCTCCAATTCAACTCTGACACTACTACCTGGAGATGGCGTCAGATCCCACAGGTTGAGGGCTCTGTTCCCAAGACTGGCCCTCCCAACACATCAGTCACAAGTCTGGGCCTCCAGAACTTCTGACTGACCGGCTTCAAGTTGGGGTTCCCACAACTCCCTCTTTGAGTTTGATTAATTTGCGCGAGTGGCACACAGAACTCTGGGAAGCACCGATGTTTAGCAGTTTGTTACACACGATATGACAAAGGATGCAGATGAAGAGATGTATCGTGGGAGCTATGCGGGAAGGGTGCAGAGCCTCCTTTCAGTGAGTGCTCTCCCTGGGTGGGCCGCCTTCCAGGAGCCTTCGTGTGTTCAGCTGTCAGTAAGTTCTCTAAACCCTGTCCTTTTGGGTTCTTACGGAGGCCTCATTACGTAGGGATGATCGATTAAAGCATTGGCTATGGTGATCAACTTGACCTTCAGCCCCTCTCCCCTCCTGGAGGTTGGGGGTTTGGGCTGAAAGTCTTAACTCTCTAATTCTACCTTGGTCTTTCTGGTGACCAGCCCCACCCTGAACCTACCCAACACAGACACACAAGGGACAGTACTGCAGAGACCCCAAGGATGTTAGGAGTTATGAGCCAGGAACCATGGAAGAAAAATATATGTGTATATATATTATATATATGCATGCCAGATAAATATGTATATATGCCATAATACCACAAGCTGGCTAGACCATGAGGGCTCTGGTCACAAATGGACCAATGCCATCATCACAGGGGTGGATTCATTATTAAAGGAATGAGTTTGGATCTCTGTTGCACACTCTCTCTCTCCCATGTGATGCCTTTTGCCAGGTTATGGGTAGCAAGATGGCCCTCACCAGGTGCTGGTCCCTTAATCTTGGACCTCCCAGCTTCTAGAATAGTGAGCCAGTAAGTTTCTGTCTATTATAAACCACCCAGTTGGTGGTATTCTCACAGCAGCACAAAACTAACTAAGAGAGATATGGAATAGTTCATCCAAAATCTTACTAAATCCTAGATAATTTTCAAGTGTTCACCACATTCTCATCTAAAAATCCACCCCAGATCTGACTGTTCAGGTTCATCACCTTTGGTTCAGTCTTTGCCAAGTATTACTGGTTTAGCCTGGCTTAAAATTCTGTTTTTGATGCTCTAGATTCTTGTGTTTTGCTTCATTTTGTTTTGTTTGTTTTCTTTCATTTTATTCTTTCTTCTGCAAATCACATTTTTTCCTTCAGTGTAAAAAGCTATGTCTTTTGTGCAGAATGCAAAAATTTTTGTCACAGAAGGTCATATGTCTAGTAATGTTATTCAAACAAAATGACTTCCTCAAAGAATTGTTCAGTGTTTCTTTGGGAGGTGCCGTCTGACACCCCCAGACATTTCTCTATTTGCCTTCCTTACCCACATGCCCTGTGGGTACCTAAGACTCAAGAGGACCAAGAGTGAATTACCTGCCTCTCCTTGAAAAGATGATCTTCCTCTCATTGTGCTTTTCCCTGTCCTGCTTCATGCTTTTCCCTGTCCTGCTTCGTGCTTTTCCCTGTCCTGCTTCATGCTTTTCCCTGTCCTGCTCTTTCATTTATTCGTTGAAATATTTATGAGTACCCATGAGATGCCAAGCCCTATTCTAGGCACTGGGAGTACCTGGAACACAACAGACTTAGTCCTTGGACTATCCTAATTTGAATGAGGATGACAGACCATGGCCAGTCCCAGGTGTTGAGCTATGGAGACCTCGCTGCCTAACAGCAGAATTTGCTGGCCTATTTTTTTGTCTATACTTCATATTAACTTTGCAAATAGGAAGTGTTGCGAATGGAGTGAAAAGAAGCCTCTTGTGATTCGGAGCAAAGATCATTGTGTTCCACCGAATTCATCTGGAATTCTGGCAGTCAAGCTCGTTGTTTACAACATATGAATTAATTGAATTAATTGTTCTATGTCTTTCTTTTCTTACCGCAAAATGGGAATAAAAATAATTCCCGTAATTTCTTCATCCAAAAACCATGGATAAGATTCTGCGCGTGGGGCAGGTGCCCTCAGGCGATGAGTGGCCTCCCTCATTCTTTTCTGTCTCCCTGGGATCTCCCAGGGGGTACTTTATATTGGACACAAAGCCCAGCCCGATGGAGGAGACATTGCGCCAGGGCATCACCGCTGTGACAGCCAAGACCTGGTCTGGCCTTATTTGTAGCTGTGTCCATGGCACTAACAGTGAAGCCCAGTGCACAGGGGTCACTCAACAAATGTGTATTGAACGAGTGAAATGCAGACCCTTACAGCCTTTCACTGGATTATAAATACAACAGAGGCACCCCCAGAGAACACCTGGAAGATGGGGAAAAGTGACCTGACTGGGCGGTTAGGGAAGGCGTCACTAATCCAGTTTGGCCCAGAAGGATGCCTAGGAATTGCGGACTGGGGTGCGAGAAGTGTTTGGAGTGAAAGAAACAGCCTGGGCTCAGGCAGCGATGTGGGGAAGAACACGGAGTGTTCCCTGGGGAACGTGGCAGGAGAGACGGCGGGAACGGGAAGATGGTACCAGAAAATGAGGTACTTGAAGTCTGCTGGGGTCAGGGACTTACGCCTGCAGGAAATGGACACCAAGGAGGGGTTTTCGGCAAGCGAAGGACATTCACAGTTGTGTGTCCTAGAAAGATTATTCTGACAATGAGATGAGGCCCAACGTAAAAGACCAAAATCCTGTGCAGCGCTCCCCTCGAGAGGTGCTGAGTCCTTGAGCCAGGTGGGAACACTGGGGAGAGAACAGGTAACAGAGACATGGGCTATGGGAAAGTAGGACATGGGGGACAAAGTTGAAGATGCTCACGAAACTTCTGCCTTGGACAACTGTAGGAGCAGAAGCGCTGCTTCCCCTTCCATCTTTCCTCTGCTCCTCAGGGAGACGGGAGCACCCTGGCCAGCCTACCCCATCACGGGTCATCCTCTAACCCTCTGCCACGTGTCTGTTTACTTCGCAGCACACTTCCCTGCCTGGCATTTTTGTTTACAGTCTGTCTTCCCCACTGAAATAAGGGAGGGACTTGGTTTGTGGTGTTGTAGGTGCTCCCAGAGCCTAGAATCGTGGTGGGCACCTTGTAGGCATGCACACATATTTCAGTGAATAAATGAAAGAACAAACACAGAAGAGGCACAGTGAGAGAAAGAGCAGATTTTCAGGGAAAGGTAGTTCACTTTCAGCACTCCTGATTCTTAGCTATCCGTGGGACACACAGGTGAGAGAGGCCAGTAAACAGCCACACATCTGGAGTTTAGAAGAGTGGCCAGAGTTAAGGGGATAGATTTGGAGGTCATTTCAGGTGCTAGGAGAGGAGGAGGAGATAGTAGAAGGGACCAAGGTGGATAAGTTAGAGAAGCAGGAGGCCCGGGGTAGAGAGCCAAGGACAAGAGGCAGGAACTCAGCTTAGAAGGCCTGAGTGGCGTCACACAGCTGGAAGATGGCAGTGCCGAGATTTGCATTCCGGTCCACCTGACTCCAAATACAAAAATTAAAGCACTGGCCTAAAAGAAGGTTGTGAGACCACATACTTCATACAGCTAGGAGAGTGTGCAGCACCAGGTGCTCAGCAGTGAATGCACACAACATACATTATCAGTGATGGCTCTTTCCACTGCTAAAGTTATTATCAAGGAGTTTTGGAACGCCATGCAGAATGATGTCTGAAAGCTATTTGACTCGCCAAGAGAAAGTGCGTTAGTGAGGTTGGCGAGAAGAACGCCAGTGGAATGGTGGAGGCAGAGGCCAGTTTGCAGGGG